TTTTTTGCCCAGCCCCCCTGCAGATGTGGAGGAGGCTGTGGCTTTCAGCCTGTGAACCCAAGGTGTTTCTGATTCCCTGTGCCTGTAAAAATCAAAAGAATTAAGCAGCAGCCTGTTTTGGTTGACCTCGGCTTGCTGGACAAGGATGGAAAGGTGCCAAGGAGAAGTTCTTAGTCTGTAACCTCACGTTTATATTTATTACAGGGAATGATTTACTTAAAGAGGTTAAACCAACTTCCATTCAGAGAGCAACTTTAATTTGGGGAAATAAAGAATTGCTGTGATTATTTCAGTGGACGTTTTGCCCCAGTCTTACCTCTGCCTTTGCGGTCCATCATACGCTCGTGCCTTGCTGTTACTGCTTGCAGTAGTATTGAAATGTGCCGGGACATTTTGGACTGAAAAGGAGTGATCTCACCTGCTGGAGTTCTGTGGTGATGGACACACACCTGTGTGCAGCTGACCACAGAGGAGGAATAAAGCTTCAGAAAGCACAAAGAAATAGCTTGTAATGGATTTGTACCTTTCCTCTGCAGAGCTTCCGTCTGGTTTCTCCCGAGCAGGCTTTGAAGGAGCTGGGCCTTGCAGAGCATCAGTTGCGTTTCACCTGCCGTGTTCACATTCAGGACCCGCGAAAGGAACACGAGACAGTGCTTCGTGTATATAACCATCTCAAAGGGTGAGCGTTTGCATTTTTTCCCTCCCCAGAGATGGACTTGAGCTTATCCTTCCTAATATAGGTAGTACAAGTGCCTCCTTTCTGCCCTTCCCGCCCAGCCCCAGAGAGTTATTACGAGAGGATTCTCTGTGGCCCAGAAGACACAACCACTCCAGATCTCAGCCTCTGTAGCTGACAGAACCAGAGCAGCGGTTACACTGCGGTAGCAGAGGCTGGTAATCAGCCTGCGAGCTCACGTCTTTGCCAAGCTAGAGCAGCCCACCCGAAATCTTTGTTCCTGATTGTTTGCTGCTGTCACTACCGCTTCTAGCTGAAGTTGGTAGCATTGTTTGGAGCGAGACCATCAAGCATAGGGTCAAGACACATCTTAAAGCTACTCAAAAGCTAGCAGCAGAGGGGCCTTAAAAGCTGTTTTCTTCCTACAGGCAGCTGGTTGATGCTGCGAGTAGTCAATACTCCGTAGCGAACAGGGTTCAGACTGGAGCTATCGCTATTATGAATGCCAGAAGTAAATTCTGTAGGAAATCCTACACAATGAATATAAGCACCAAAATAAGCAAACTATAAATCAGCCCCATTTCCCCTTCCCTGGGCAGTGGGCACACAGCTTAAAGGAGTAACACCCGCTGGTGTTGGGGATTCAGAGATGGAGGGGTGACCCACCTGTCAGCTTGTATCCACGTGCCATCCAAAATAAATCATTATCTTCTCTCTTACCAGAGTCCTCAAAGATTATTCAGTGCAGCATCTCCCCGATGGTTCTATCACAGTAGAGTCCATTCTTATCCAAGCCACAGCACACTCGGAGGATCAAGGAACCAAAGTCCTGCTCGTATCCTGGACTTACCAGGTAGGAATACTTGAAGATAAACTTTTCAAGCAACTTCTTGCCTCCCTACAGTCCCAAACTGCCCTGCAACGCGGGTTGCCATTGTAAGGGTGAGTCTTCACCACTCTGTTTTTGAAGTACTTTGACTGGAAGAAGATGAAGTGAGTCACTGCATCTTCTTCACCATTTTGGGTTTAATACAAATCATTTTACAGGAGCTCTACTGAGTCAGTTTTCTCTGGGACCACTGAACTACCGCAACTGATCTGGAGTATTTACACTTAATACAATTATGGTTAATTACAATTGTATCTGTGTTTTGAGGACACACTATAGTATCCAGCTTCTAAACTCTCAGCTGTATCACTACTGCCATACAGGCTGTGGATGTATCTTCTATTCTGTTTCTCAGGTGTAAAACTTTAAACGATGAGCAGAAAGCTAGTGAACAAAATCGTGGTAAGATTAGACAGAAGTCATTATGTTTTCATCCTCCTAAAAGTATACTTTCTATGGCTGTATTTTTACGTGCTTTCTTTACAGTGACAAAATGTCTCCTTAAGGGTAAAACAAAGATGTCAATGGTTCATAATTCTTTGCTTTTGAGGAAAATGACTATTTTCCTCAAAAGAGAGACCTCAGGTCCAGTTTTACACTGATATTTTGAGAGAACGCCCAGAAATGCATTTGCGTGAACTGGATTGGTTTCCATTTTTGAACACAGCTAACATTAGATTTTGATGGTCCCAAGAATTATTTCAGTCTATTTCTAGGTCGAATTAATTGCCCCAAACAGGCAAAGTCAAGTAGAAGATTGTTTTCATCCTGTTTGTCTTCATTCTCTCTAGGACGAAGAACTGGGCAGCTATCTCACATCCCTTCTGAAAAAAGGACTGCCCCCGAGTACATCGTGAGCAACACAGCCGCAGGCACAGTGGCGTTTCAGAGAGATGTAGATTTTATTTTGTTTACATTGTCAATATCTCTTTCCGGTTTTGTTTTAATAAAGGAATTACAGTGTTTGTCCAATTACTGCAGTGACAGCGTACACTGTTCAGCAGCACTGTGATCCTCCCCCACTGGCAGCCTGTCCGGGTATCACTGCAGCCCATTTTTTAAAGAGCTTTCAGTCGCTTACACAAGAAGGTAAAAGGTATTCAGCATTCTTCCTGTCCCACAGCTCATTTCCCTTAAGCCCTCAGTGCTGAGTGAAACCAAGAGCTTTTAAAGCTTCACAATTAAAATGCAAAGTTTAAGTATAAGGGGGGCAAGAGTATAGAGCTCTAAACGTGCCGTGTACCCTGCACCATAACTGGTTTTATTGTCCATGCTTCCCTCGATGATGGCTGACAGGCCTGCAAGAAACCTGCACTCCTGGATGGAGGCTCTAACAAATTTTCCTTCCTCTGTCCAGAACATAAAAATTGTGCTTAGGTGGAAAGAACAGTTCTTCCACTGCTGGGAAGTTTTTCTATAGCCTATAAATGGGACCAAAATAGTAGTATCTCATGGAATATAAAAGATTAATTTATCCTAATGCTCCCTTAGAGGCTCTCATCATCTCCATTTTACACATGCAAGGATATTTGCATTTTTCTTACCGAGCCCAGTCAAGCAGAGCAACACAGGAATTGTTATTTTCAATATTTTAGAAAAGTTTGAGTGGGTTTTCTGACTGATATTTTAAAAATTCCTGTAAGCCCAGAGCAAAATACAGGAAGGGAGTGGTCAGGGGCTGACCCATCCTTAGTTCTAGGTGTCCGTTCAACAGGATTCAAACTGCACATAGCGATAATGCAAGTCAGGCCCATCCCAACAAATCTAACAGCACACCCACAAGAGCTGCCCGTTACAAAGCTTTAGCTCTATTATAATAATTTCAGATCTGCTCTTGGTTTGCATGCTGTGTACAGCTCAGATCGCTGAAGTGGTTTAGTGATTGGCTTTAACTGATCAATACAGCCTCCCAAATTCCAGACCCTTGCTTACCATCATAATACTTTTTTTTTTTTTCCCCAGCATACCCCTAACACTGCCACTTCTTATTTCCCAAACCTCTTACCTCCTGTCCTTAACCAGACAGTAGACTACGACATCGGCTGCCATCAGAAAATGGGCTGAATATGAGAAGAAGCTGTAATGTCCATTGTTGTGCTAAGAGAAGTTACACATCACACAGAGCACAGCATCATTTATCTCCCCGCACCACTCTGCCACAATAATCCCCCTCCCTCCTGCCTTTAAGGTCCATGGCAGTTCTTGTTCCAGTTGCCAGCATCACCTGGGCACCCCAGCCCTCCGCTGCAGCGTGCCAGGTCAAAGCGTGACTCTGTGCACGTTTGGAATGGAAATTCGGATCTAGCGCATTGCCGCGGTTCGGCACACCTTGGTCCCTGTTACACAAGCCTGTGACAATTTCCCTTCCGTTCTCATCTGCTCAGCAGTCTCGCGTGCCCACAGGCCAACAGCACATGTGCACTATGTAAAGTTTGGGGGTGGTGTGGGAAGGAACAGAACAGCGAGTCTGCACATCTGTTAGCAAAATCGCATCCTCTTGAGTAAACCCCTTGGCTTTTAAGCAGGTTCATCAGCCAGGCCAGTGGTTTTCTGGTGACTCTGATAACCCACAAATGATAAATTGCCTCCAAAGTCTCATGTCTCACAGGGTGGAAAACAGCAGTTCTCAGAAGCTGTGTGGTTCTGTTAATACAGGAGAAGGGGTGAAACAGGTCAGGTACATTTTGTGACATAAACACAGTGACTGAAGAGAGCACGTTGACATTTGAACAGGACTGCACCCTGTCAGGAGTGGTGCAGCTCCTACCCTGTGGCAAGAGGAGGTTGTTTACCCACTGGTCCTGCACAGGGTTAACTGACTGATAAATACTTGGATCCATTATCTTCTAGAATCACATTAATAGATGTCCAGCTTGAATCCGTAGGCAGGCGATGCTTGAAACCCTGTACTGAAATACTCCTCAGGGCGCCAATCAATTGATGCGCAGGAAGGGAAGAGAAGCCCGTATTTGGCTGTGGAATGTAGGCAGAGAGCAGTCTGTGAACCCAGCTGGCTACAGTGCGCCCCCAGGGAGAAAACACAGGATCCCTCCAAAATAGGGCAAAGCCAAGCAGGACTGCCCAGATCCACTCCAGCCAGTGTCAACTGGGAGGCTGGTTTCTGTCACGTAACCCGTTCCTGGGCTGCACTGCTTTCCAGAAAAGAGCCCTGTGTTTTCCAGAAAAGACCCCAAAGTTAAACAAAAGGAGACCAAAACATCAACGTACACGAACACAGCATGTTTCACCAAACCTTATCTAGGACTGTCAGAGAATACAGCCCCCCAAGTACTGTCCCAGTTGGCAAATAAAAATATACAGCAGTCAGACGCTTCCCTCCAGTGTTGCCTTGATGTAAGAGCTGCTGTATGAAAGAACACCTTCACACCTTTGTTTTCAAAGAAACAGTTGGAAAGAGGAATTACTTTAAGTAGATCAGTTGTTCCCATCTCCGTGTTTATTTCCGTGTCTCTCTTGTGCTTTATAAACATAGGAGGACTCCCCGAATTTCTGGTCACAGATTGTGTACACTATTTTAGATCTGAATCTGAGCTTGAAGTTGCAGCGCCATCGCTTGCTGGAAGAGGTGAAGTAGTACAAGAGTGGGTTAAGGCAACTGTTGAAGCTCACGAGGGCTAAGGTGACCCTTCGCATTTTGTAGATCAAGTTGGTAAATGACTTATTCTGGATGACCTGGATTCTCATTAAAAAGTGGAGCAAGTGGGTAAGATGATAGGGGAGAAAGCACAAAGTACAAATGAGCAAGATGATGTAGATGGTGCTCAGGGCTTTCCTCTTGCGAACGCTGTGCTTGATCTGGGACACCCTCTTCGCAATGAGAGGGTAACTGATCAGAATGATGGAAAATGGGATCACAAACCCAAAAACTAAGGCGATGATGTTGTAAGGTGCCATGCGGTAAGTCCAGCTACTCGTAGTAAAGTTCTCAAAACACGCTGTCACATTCCTCGCAGCACTGTTGTGGAGGGGACCTCCGAGGATAAGTGGAACCGTGACACTTAGAGCCACCACCCAAAGGACTGCAACCACCATCACATAATGGATGACTTTGATCTGGATGTACGTGAAGGGGTGCAACACTGCGATGTAGCGATCAACACAAATGCAGGTGAAAAAGGCAATGCTGAGATAGATGTTGATATAGTACAAAGTCCCAGTGATCCTACAAGCCATGTCACCAAAGATCCAATTGTTCCGATTCAGGTGGTAATGAATTTTAAAAGGCAACACACAAACAAACAAGGTGTCTACCAGCGCTAGATTAATCAGGTACACGTAGGATTGAGACATGTGCTTTGCTTTGCAGGACAGGAGGTACAGAGCTAAGACATTTTCTATCAGTCCCAGCACGAAGACAACGCTGTAGATGACAGTAAACAAGGAATACTGGAAGTCTGCTTCCACGCTGAATTCTGAACTGGCATTGGCAACTGTCTCATTGGAGACTCCTTCAGTCCAGGAAATACCTGCCATGATTTCTGCTGGAGTGTATAAAAGTCTTAAGCCATCCCTTACCTCAGGACGTCCTTGAGCTTTATTTCATCTCAAGTGGGAAAGAGCGAAAGCTGCACAACTGAGCGATGTTGTGGCTGGTGAAGCCTGTGGTTTGGAGGTCTGTGCACGGTATGTTTAGGTGGAAAGTGATGTTGCTGTAAGGGAGAATAAATCATTTAAAACACAAGCATTTGAAGTTTACACAGTAGACAGATTATCTACTGGCATTAAAATCATCACAACATGACAATACTGAATTAACAGAGGTAGCAATTCCCCCCCCCCCCCAAAAAAAAAAAACCCACAACAAAACAACCAAAAAACAAAAAGAAGAGCCACTTAAAGAAGGCTACAGCTTTGGCTGAGGGTGGGCCTGCAATTGAGGTGGTACAGGAGAACTTCAGCAGTGATAAACCTTTGGAGGTCCTGTAATTAATTTTCCATTCCTAAGCCCTACCAGAACTCCTGTGCCATTCCCCAGAAATGTATGATGTTATTATCCTGCCCTAAAAACCACCACAGTGACGGACTGCGCAGGCTTCCCAGGGAAAAAGAAAAGCAGCAGTGGCAAAACTACGAGTAGGCGCGCTTTTTCATTACTCCAGTTAACTCTGTGCTCTATGACTGGACTGCTTTAACCTCGCTGCTGCAGTTTTATAAAGTGCACATTTGGAAGCTCCCTGTTAAAATTAAGGAACAGCATTTAAAGCACAGAAGTGAAACAGGCAGCTGGCACCCGTACCGGGCTGTTCACCAAATCATAAAGCAGCAGCACCATCCCCACCCCGTTTAGGAGCGGGTCAGGGTGGAACATCAGCAGCACAGACACAATGGTAACAGAACAGCAAACGGACCGGTTCGGCGCTTCAGCCAAGATGTGCCACGGCTCTTCAAACAAACATTTGTGTGCCGGAGAATACGCAGTACAGGACGCAGTACAGGTCATTGTAAGACATGATAACACGCATGCAGACGGAGAGAAAGATGGTTTTTTCCATCCTTTCCACCCACACTGTCACACCTTAGTTGAAGTTCATATACCAGTGGGAAGGTTCAGTGTAAGCTGTTGGGTGAATTTACAGCTCCCTAAAACTACTCTGCGGGCACACTGCAGAGCAAAAGCAGCACTCGGCTCGGTTACAGAGGGAGCCTAAAGGTCTGGTTCGTGTGTATCAAATACGGGAAAGAGACGCTGTAGGTGGAGGACTCCTCACCTAGGTCACTCACATCTCGTAATCAATAAACTGCACTCCGGCAGTGTAGTTTCTCTCCATCACACAGAAAAGAAATCCGAGTACCTAAGCCAAACACAGACATCTCTGTTTAGAGGCCCTTAAAGGCAGTGGAGGAATTAAACCCGGCTATAATATGCACAATGTTCCTAAAGTTGAGCCATTGAAAGCACAAAAATACAAAGCTTGTCGGGTACTTTCCAAAGGAAACTCTGAAATCACACTTCCTCCCAGTGGTTGTTTACCAGCGAAGTCAAAGGCACCCAACGTGATAACTGGAACATTAGAAAGGAAAAAAAAAAAAAAAGTTTCACTTTAAGTAGGTAAGCATACAGATCTGGTTACATGGGTCGTTCACCTAATAGCAAAGGGACTGAACACACACATACAGGAGAATTAATACAAACCCACACATGGCCATAACTGTAAGCAGCACAGGACTCAAAACAACCTTTATCTCAATGTTTTGCCAGAGCAAGAGCCACCAAACATCTGTCTTTTCTAGGTTCAAAGTAGAGTGTCGCAACTGGGGAAAGATAAGGCCTGTAGAATCAGGATGGCTGATTAGGATCAGGGACTGATTAGCTACTGCTTCTCACGAGCCAAGCGCAGTAAGGACATCCGTAGACACTACCAGGTCAGAGCTCCAAAACAAAACAAGAGGAATTTTTCCCAAAACACCACATACATTGTCCCAAGGTTCCGTAGAAGTTAGACACAAGGGTTTCTGTATGCTTAATGCCGAGTGACCACTGTGAGATGGCAAAATCATAGAATAATAGAATTGTCTAAGTTGGAAGGGACCATCAAGATCATCAAGTCCACCAAAACGAGTCTTGCCAAAGGACTCCCTGAAACTGCCTCCACCCCGATCCCCGGCACTACGGTTACCAGGCCGTACACAGGCACAGAAGCTGCTTGTACCATGATACTACACTAATGTCCTTTCCTTTCAGCACCTTTAGCCTCACTTAATCCCCTAAATCCCTCCCCAGCTGAAAGAGGATCCCACATTAGGTCTTACTTTCTTAAGAGTGTCCAGTGGGCAACACGGATACCTCAGTCGCTGGTCAGTGACAGGTGAAGCTTGTCACAGCACCGCTTGTCCCACTAGCGCTCACCATCCCTAGGTGCAGCCCATTGAATAACACAAACCCATTTAAGCTCAAATACAGCAGAAGAAAGGAACAGTGGAGGGGGAGAAGGGGGGGGGGAATAATACATCACTGACACAGAATTTTACAAGCTTTTTACAAGTCATTCTTCTACCCAGTTCTAAAGAGTTGCACAGGCACGGCAGGACCCCACCGTGCACATCAATCTGTGCGGAAATAGTTTCATTCCCTGTGAGAGGTAATAGAAGTGACAGAGTCTACACCTAAACATATATTTTGCAAGCATAGAGCCACTTTCATCTCTTACAATAATGTACCATTTATCTACCATTTTAGAAGGATGGACTCTGATCAAATTCCAAATTCAGTTTTGCTTCCCCAGAGCTGTTTTGTTGTTGTTTGGTTTGGGGTTGTTTTTTTTTTTTGGGGGGGGGGAGCAACTTCTTTCTTCCAGACAACCAACAAGCACCGCTGACTTCTGTTTCTGCACCCAGTTATGTGATTTACAAACACAGAAAAGCATACATCAAAGTTTCCACTGGATTTTAAGTTAATTTAATTATTAGAAGTGTTTTCATACAAAAACAAGCTTGAGTCATTGAACTCTGGTAAAGCATGAGGTTTTTCTGGTTTTAGTTTTCAAGCATCATTGTCAAACAATCAGAGAAACAGACCTCCCCATGTATTGGATGTCCAGATTGAATCAACTGAAAATAATTAGTAACGCAACGACACAAAAAGGAACGGAATGCTAAATACCCCTTCATAATGAGTAACAAGTATTAATAATGGAGACCAAAAATGATTCAGACAAGGAGTTCGCACAGTTCTCCACTGATGGGAGATTTTATGAAGCTAAGAGATCATGTTCTTTAATTAAACGTCTTCAGGTTATTTTTAACAGTTGCTCTGGGATTTAAAAAACAAGGCAAAAGCCCACAACAGTTGTGTGTGCTAACTGCAGTTAGCCAGTGAGCCTGCTTCTGGACTACTGCCTGGCCAGCTGAGCCTGGGTCGCTCATGTACTGGATTTGATAACAAGCTCGTAAGCGCAATAGGTTTTTATTGTAACCAGAAGTTGGGAAACATTTGCAGAAACATCAAATAGCAGGTATTTTTACATTGCAACTACTGGAAAAAAAACAACCAACACCACCCAATCAAACCCACACCACTGGCGATACCTGAGCCTGCAGGAGCAGTTAGCTTGATTAACACCCAAACAGCGTTAGTATTTGGTTTGGTTTTCTGCCCTGTAAAGACTCATAATAAATTTAGTTAGAAAGTTAACTTACCGGAGCTCAGATCATCACCTCTTGTGTAAAAGCTGCAGATGAGTACACCAGCCTCTCCAAAGAGTCCACACGACGAGGTCACTGCTAAGCTCCTCTGCGAAGAGTTTTTACGCCAGAGCAAACACTCTGCCCTGCAAGACACCCTGCAGAGCTCTCCCTCGTTGCTCTACAGAGAGAAACCACAGGAAGTGAAGATGAAAAGCTGTCACTCGGATCCAGGACAGAGCACTTGCCCCGCTAGTGAAGTGTGTCCCCCCCAAGAACAGGGGAGAGAGCACAGCACGCAGCCAGCACCAGTGCATGCCCGAGTTCTCTCCATGTATCCACTGCATGAGGGAGGCACAGTGCTCCCACCCAAAGCCACCCGTGATCACCTCCAGCCTGCCCTGCCCTCCGGTCCCGGCAGCGTGCAGAGCAAGGCCTGCCTCTCTGGGCCCAGGTACCAGCGCTTCGGTCTGAGACGCTTTGAAATGAGCCTGCAGCTCCACTCTCACTTCCCCTCAAAGGAAGGAAGAGCAAGACTTTGCTGCCATTCCCTTTCAGGCAAACCACTGTCTAAAACTACATGGGCACATTAAGGTTTGGAACACAGATGGACAAGCCCCACTGCTTGTGTGGAGAAAAAAAAAAAAAAGAAAAAAGAAAAAGAAAAATCACCGCAGCATGTTACAGCATCCCTGCGTCTGGGTACTTACCCAGCAAGGCTGTACCAGAAAAGCACAAACAGGTATCATGCTAGCAACACAGCTTCAGCTCTCCTCTTCCATGGTAGAGCTGCAGGACTCCTCCAAAGTTCTGTCATTTTCTTTGGGAATTAGCCCTTGAGGGAATAAAGCAGCTAGCAGTCAGCAGGCTCCACGGGAAGGGAGACAACAACCAGAAGTATCTTGCCTTTCCTTCCCACGCTGTCAAAAGTAGGTCTCTGGCAAAACTGCTACCTGGAACAGAGAGGGGAAGAGACACAACACTGCTCATGAGGAGACACCTACAAACGGGCTGTCCTCCTATTCTGTATCAGGACCACTCACTCACTGGAGCCCTGCTGCCAAATGCAAAGGTGGCCTTAAGAAAGGTCAAACAGAACTGCTGCCGCCTCCTCTGACTACCTCGCGGCCCTCCACCATGCAAACAGAGAGCGGAAACTCCACAGTCTCTCAAGAGGTTATTAAGATTCTTTATTTATCTGAATGCGATAGTCTGTATCGCTTTGAATTGCCACGTAACAAAGAACATCCTCTTACCAGATCAAGTGGGCTGTCTGCTCTGACAAACTGGCACGCTCTGTCATTCTCCTGCTCTCAGGGACAAAGGGGAGATTAATTACGGCGGTACTGGGC